TCGAACCGGTGTCCTCCCGAATGCTAAGCAATGGTCTAGACCTCTAGGCCATGCCACTCGGTGACGTACCTTCACTCTTTCCTATCCTAAGCTAATCTTTGCATTTCCCTAAAAGTAGAACAACCCACATTCTTAACTATTTGCGAACACTAATCTAATCTAGGTCTACCTTTACCCTTCCTAACTTCCGTTTCTGTCACTAATATGTCTCTGACTAAACCTTCATGCTTGAGGACCTAGGATCTACCTATCTCGCCTATTTCTTATTGACTTCCTCTATTCTCCTATTCTTTCAAATATTTCTTCAATTCTAACCTTCTCTATCTACGGTACCCTCATCATTTGCCTGTAATACCACATTCCGAATGCTTCTAAACTTTTCTTTTTCTCTGCGCTTCACCGTCCATGTTTTGTACCCCTACAGCGCTCCAAACATACACCTTACAACGGGGGTTAAAATTACCAAAATTCTGCTTACGTAATACTTGAATGACCCCTGTGTGTTTAAATCTGTACGAAGTGTGAACGTGCATTGCCATGGGTCAGTTCCAGCTGGTGAAATACCGTTTCATCTCGTTGAGAATTTATTATAAAGTCACTAGACATTCCACCACGCTCACGCATACATGGCATAGTTGGAATGGCGTGAACTAGCATGGGCGCATTCGATTGTCAACACCGATGCTCGTCAAGGGATGTCGTGATTTAAATGGGGACGCGTCCGAAAGGTGAGTGCGTGCCTGCGCCCACTCGACGCGCATTAGCGTCTCGCACATCTCTCTTTCGACACAGTGTAATTACCGGCTGTAAAAAAATCGGGGCCCATACGTGAGTTAATTGAATTTTTTGACGCGCGCGATGAGATTCCTCGACTCTTCAACTCTGCGACATAAACCTCATCCGTAAATGGTTCCTCGAACTTACGGCTTAACTGCTTTTTATTGGTGGAACGATACAATTGACGCCGTACCAATGAATAAACGGTACTTAAAGAGGGATTATTATGAGTAATGACGACTAATGGTGATGCGACCGCAAGGTGGCGCACATTAAAGAGAAAATAGAAAATAAACGACCCGACGTGCGAGTACATTTAAAAATTTACTGACGATTTCACAGGCACTTTTGAAAGGAAACGGCATCAACGTAACGTGATGGATACTCCAAGATAAAAGGAAACTGTAATTTTTAAAGTCGTAGTGGGCTTTAATAATAAATTAAACATGTACATGCGTACGAAAGGAAGTAAATGTAGGTGATACATCTACTGAGAGAAATAACAGACAAATAAACTGGAACGTATCTTATGCAGTAGAGCAATCTAAAATTTAAAGGCGCAACAACTATCATCTTGTTATTAGTTTCTTCATTTTGACCTTATTTTATTATCTATGTTGATTTTGTATTGAAAATTCATCCTTTACAACAATGCCCGAAGGTTCCTGACTAGAGTGCGGGCCTCATGTGGCTAATGAGGAGCACACCGATAAAGGGATTTCCCCGTAGATTCCTCATGAAAATTCCACTAAAAAAGAGGTGATACTAAAATAAGGATTACCTTATGGGTTTTCATATGGGTCTAAAGGGGTAAATCTAACACACCTACAAACTTACAATTAAATCTACTTTATGAGATCTCGATGAGGCAAATCCGTTTGAAAACAGTCTCGGTAAAATGAAAAACTTTATAAAAAATCGTAACAATCCCCTTGTTCAATTACATCTTTTACATTTGCAACAAACCAACAAGTGTACCTCCTGATATTGTTATTATAAGACAACTGAAACCAGACGCATCAAGTCGAATTTTCCAGTAAAACGATTGTAATTTAAAGTATTATTGAATACAAAAGAGCCCAATAACACAATCTTACTTAAGAGTAAACAAATTTTACAAATAAATGATATTCCTCCAAATGGAGGTATAAATTGTATTGAAATTTGTGGTAAACTACTACCAAAATGAAAATCCCTTTATACGTATCCACGCGATGCTAAGTATTTTGAAATGTACCTATAGTTTCTGTAAACAATGAAAATATCGTTACCTGTAAAATCATAGATGATAATATGTGTTGTACCGTTGCTACATATGTAAAGGTGAACAGTTTCTCATTAGTAAAATATATTTCTTATTCAATTTTGTAAATGCTGCAAGGCGTTATATGCTCCTTCCTTTCCCTAGCGGGCAACCTCAAGGGGCCACAAGAGGTGGTGTGGCTACCTGTTTAGGGACCCTACCTGCACCCCCCCCAATATTCTAGTCGGGTTGGTTAGTCAAAATTAACGAATTAATTTCAATATGACACTGATCTTCTGCTACCACTAGTTGTCCTTACAGTCAACTTCGATCAACAGTCAACGATATTTCCGAAAAACATTACTAACTACAACTGTTGTAATAAATTGCATTTTTTAGTTAAAAACGATTTAACTTATCGAACATAAACCGTCAATCCGTCAATATCAATATATTTATATACCCACAATTACTGATTTTTATAAATTCAATTTTCCTCAAGACCTGACAATATTGGAAATGCGTGACAATACAAAGATTCACTGGCGTTCAATGTACCTATTGTCAAAGAAAAGGGATTGTGTAGTATATTCTCTGGTAGCCTGAGGCCACAAATAATCAGGCAAATTACCATCAATTCACGAAGCATTTACATTGCAAAGCCCATGTATCCATTGTAGATTCTCATAAATTACAGAACACATTAAACAAGATTAAATGACAAGCTGACAGAAAAAAATAATGTGAATTTAGATATTCAAACAAATTTACTGTATGCAACACTGCTAAATTACAAAATATTCAGAACATAAACAGAAAAATAAATTTTCCTGTTGTGTATGTATTTCGAAATGCTGTCTTGATTCTTACAATTCTTAAGATTTTTGTAATAAATATTTATTCTATTTTGCGTCGTGCCATATTACATATTCAGACAACACTTACAGTGGTAGGTACTAGACTGTTAGAGTTGTACCTATGTGTTTACAAAAAATTTACAAATTGAACCCTTTATTAATCAGTGTCTTGTTTCTAAATAGGTAGTGCTAAACTTGAGTGCTATACTAAAATATTTAGTGATTACCATAAATTTTGGTCGCTATTTTAGTGAGGTACTGGTTAGTGTTGGTGTATTTACACTTCGGAAAATGCTGGGGCAGTAATTTTCCACAGATAATCTTTCATTCTCTTCTGTCTTCATTTCGTCCGTCTCATCGTTCTCACCATAACCACCACCTACCCAATCCCACGATTCCTGAAAGGAGTCTGAAGAGGGTCTTCCGCCTTACCTTCCGGCCTAGTCCAGCATTGGCGGAAATGAAATATCCAAGTTTTTTTTATCGATTAAAGGACAAACGTTGATCCAATACTGAGTGTTAAATGCTTCGTTAAGGGTGTTCAACAACGCTAAAAGTATGGACAGTGTACTGGCATCGAAATAATGAAGCTATTTTTAGCGTTATTTATTCATTTCATATGATAGTTCACAGCAATAAAATTGATGGCATAAGTAAAGGTCTTTAAAGGACGTTACCTTTGCCAGAACATTCACCACTGATGGCATCAAACCTGACATAAAATGGAAGAAACTTGGGAAAAAATGATAGATCAATAAGCATCTAGCACACTTTGGACATTTTACTATGGTCTTTTATCCAGTGTTCGTTAAAAGGATAAAGGCTATTTAAATTTTTGGTGTTTCATTCCAACCAGCTACTACGCCGGAGGGTATAGAGAAAAACCCTCTTCAATATCCTTTCAGGAATCATGGAAATGGGCGGATAATGATGGATTATCTGTGGGATATTATTAATGCCCCGGCATTTTCCTACATGATCTAAGGAAATTACAGAAAAACTTGGACTAGGACAGACGGACCCGGATTCGAATCGATCCCCTTCCGAATTTGAGCGATACAATTTGCCAGTAATTTCATACAAATAATAGCTAGTCAAAACCGACTTTGTCGTGGGGGTTATACAATTTATCAATGAAAACTTTTCAAGATTGTTTTTATTTCATTACAACAAGGGACGCTTGTATATGGATGCTGCAAAACTACCATCGCTTTATCATATGTTGATGATGAATAGTAAACCAAATGAGTTTTATAGGTCTATGGTCCTTTCATATTAATGAACTTAGCAAAGAAACGTTGATCTTTAATTTGAGTTTTTCTGTAGTGGATAAAGTTAATTCAAAACTAAATTCATTAAAAAAAAAAATAAAAATAACAGTGGTGTCCGATATGAGTTTATTGCGAATGCTTTTAAATCGATGTACGTTGACACATGCAATTGGCACTTCAAACTTAGCAAATGATTGACGACCATTATAAATTTAGAACGTGATCCTTCGATGAATTTTGCAATCGTCGATCGAAATGTAACGGAGAAGACGGAACGCCTCCGCTACGGATAGACGTGCCTACCTGATAATTTATCTGATATCCTAAACTGTCATCAAAACGATCATAAATGCACTAAAAAGTACATACATAAAGTAAGGATAACGACGAGTCCACACTGACGTCCCCGGCCATAATAATTCAATTCAAAGGACTTGTTATTCTTTGTTCAATTACTAATAAAAATCTCGCTCGTATAAGCCGAACGTCTTTCAACGCATAAATCTCAGTAAACAATGGTACTTCTCAGTTATATGTCAATAAAATATTTCCTGGAATATCTAGGGTTACACGCGTGCGACACAAAAAAAAAAAAAAAAGAAAAAAAAAATTGTTCCTAGAAAGCGCGCTACGAAATCTAGTAGGTATTAAGGTATTAACGACGAAGAGACACAAGAGAACAGAAAGGGTTGTAACGTTGCCTCAACACCGCATTTTGCCCGTCCTTTTCCCGAACGTTGGCCGGTTATTGGTTCGTCCTTGTCTACGTTTCGTTGCCAGATGGCGCAAACGTATGGAGATCGTAGCGGGCTGATCGCGGCTCGCCTGTTTAGTCGATTGTCTACTGTTTAACTCAACGCGCGCGTGCGTAAGATGAAAACGTAGCGGAGATTTCAACGGTCGATCAAGAGACGAACCCGGAAAAGCTCCAGTTACGACCAAAAAACCGCGTTAAAAACCGAAATTAAAGCGATTACCCCGACCGCAAGACTCAATTGAAAAGAGAAGAATCCAACCAAAAAATGTTCAGTGTTAAAAACAGTGTCTGACGGTGTCAAGAATGAGTTGTTAGAGGAGACGAAACGTGTTAAATAAAAAAAAAACAAAAAACGAACATAAAAAGTGGAAGAATGCGCCCGTTGTTGTTCTTGCCGCATCACCGGTCCTGGTAAGATACCTTTAAAACTACACTACACTAAATAACCAATCGGAAAGTGTCAGAATAAATAACGCAAGAAAGAGATAAACAGTTGCCAGATGTCGCCCCGAACAAAAAAACTCTGGTCCGTGGTGAAATGGTACGGCTGTCCAGTTACCATCGAAAAATAAATACTGTAGGTACCAGAAACATGAATCTCCTATTAAAGCTCGCACAGTAAATTTCGTTTCTGCGTGACGGACGGTATTGATAATAATAAAAATCAAAAAAGTGTTAAGTGTTAAACGAAAAAGACAAATGCACATCGAATTACCACCACTCAAGATCATGCAGGCATCTACCGAGTCATCAAACGTTCTGGCATCGTCGGTTTGTGATAAGCAGCAAAATTCGTCAGCCAAAGGTTCCGAGATGCCTATCGCCGCATCGTCCCACATAAACCTGGCGATCCTGCAGGAAAACTTCTTGCAAAGGTCCATCCAAAACGTGGCACTGTCGTTACAGAACGCCATGATGAATTCCTTGCAGCAGGCGGCCTTATTACCCCCCAATTCGGCAGCAGCCGCTGCCCTCAATCTGCAAGCCCTCGAGTCATATTTAACCCTCCAACGATTAACTTCGGTTTCCGCAAATGTGAACGTCAACAATGGTAGAATCGATATCCTCAAACTAGCAACCAGTAACGCTAAAATAACCGAAGAATCCATCGCGAGCAACGAAGAAAATGCTCAAAACACAAGTTTAACCGAAGACGTTGACTTAGCAGAAGAGGTCGAAGAAGACTTGGCCCTTTTGGACAGCGACGAGACCCTTAGTAACTTCCAGATCTCCAATTCGCCGGTAGACACGAGTTATCCAAGTTTAATTATGAACTCTTTGTACCATGGATCCCCGTCGACAACGTCTTCTACATCTCCTTCGTCGTCGACAAGTACGACCACGTCAACTGTAACGACGTCTTCAGCGGTCACCTCGACCGTGACGACGAATACGAAACAAAAGGGGTCGTCCAGGCCCAAGAAACAGTTCATCTGTAAATTTTGCAGTCGACAGTTCACCAAGAGCTACAACCTGTTGATTCACGAACGAACTCATACGGATGAACGACCCTATTCATGTGATATCTGCGGGAAGGCGTTCAGGAGACAGGACCATTTAAGGGATCACAGGTACGCATGTATATGTATGACATTAATCTCTTTCAGTAGGTACCTGGTACAATTTTGTGAAGTCAAAATTGTATTAGTATCAATGCATACAGAAAACAATACAATTCATGTCAAACATGTCATGGGCACTTGACCATAAATAAATATTGCATTGTTCTTTCTTCCTAAATGTTTCATCACGGAACTTTATCGGAGTACAACTTGAAACTATTTCATTGATTTTTCATTATATGAACAATGATAAAAAATTAAGAGCGTAATATCCCTTTTAAAAGATAAGTTAGCCATTTTTTGTATAGTTTTTGATAGACAGTTGATTCCAAGCATATGAGTTGAAACATCGAAACATTGTGTAAGTAATAATAGATTTTTCGAAAACCTTAAAATTTACCTTCATGGGTAGCTACATAATATGTAGGCATATGAGGTAAATACCGCGCCAAAAACAATTCGTTGCTATAGCTAAAAGTATTTCCAACGTCAACTTAGAAAATCCTTTAACAATCCATAATAGTGAGAAATCAAATTAAGCAAGAATTCTACCTTTTCCAATCATTAAACTGCTTCTGCATTACATAACCTAACATAATTTGATTTAACCTCAAACTATTTTGAAGTTGGTGAAATTGTTCGTATAGTAAGTAGTTTCTTCCGGAAGGTTTTCAAAACGTTCATTTTCTTACTGGCTTTAAATACATGTCTTCAGTTATACTAACTTGATGGATTATTATATTAATCGATTACTATAATTTGCTTCGTGCTGTAGTAATTATAAGCCACACATCGTTGTTCTGTTGTAATTATTCAAACTATTTTAATCAATACGAATTCTTTAAGCCAAAATACAATAACATCATCCACTTATTATTAATATCAGGTACTTACTAAAAATAATTTCGGAAGATCTCTATGTATGCATCTTGTTGCATAGCAACAGTCATTTGAGTCCGTTGTACACACAGTTTTGCTATTTCACAGTTTTCATTCAATCAATTTCTATCATCATTTTTGTTAAGTTTATTAGTCTACTGGTTAAAGTGTTGTGCTTTGAATTCGGTCGTTTAATATTAATAAATATTCTTAAACATATCTAGTATTTATCTTTATCGAGGCTTTTTGTGCCATTCAAAAAAGTGCCTTCATATAAGTCGTCAAACCAAGGCGACAACATTTTTGGTCCTTCGAGCCGGATACTTGGTACTCTCATCACGTGCAAGCTGGTGCTAGAAACGAGGGTGGTTTGAGTCCAAAAATTAGTCAGTGAAATTCATATGTGGTTATTGATTCATTTTCTTCAGACCATAAAATGCGCAAGAATTGTCGATAGGGTTTTTGAATGGAAATTTATGTCTTTAATGTTGTGTAAGACATTTTCGCAATATGTATGAAACTTACGCGGTAATTACCAAGACATAATATATTCTAAAGACTATGATAAGAAAGTTGAATAATACCATAGCTAAGTGAGAAGATAATGACGATCGAACAACTAAATTAACGGTATGATAGCGATCATAGTATTTTTTTCTTAACGAGTGTCAATCTTCAAAATTTGAAACGTGGCTGTCGCATCTCTTTGTGAGTATAAAGAAGAAGGCAGCTGCGGTCCGGTGTACGTACAATGACCAATATTGTGCTTTATTACCTGCATTGACGTCATAATAACTCATGTTTCGGAGATATCATCTCTAATAAATCTATTTTTGACCTATAACCTCTACGGTACTCCAACGTATGACTTCTATTGAACGATGCTTTTAGTTTTACATCTTCCAGGTGTCTCGAAGTGAAATGGTGGATGGTTACAAAATAGTAACAAATTAAAATGATTGCTACTACCTACATAAACTTAAGTCTTAATAATATAATTATTATTATGATGTATTCACATTTTGGGAATAAGAATAGGATAAGGTTGTCCACTTGTCCCAAGACGAAAACGTTATTAAGTATTGGATTTATATCAGGTAATGCTGATGAACGATTTGCTTGATCATCGCAGTTTTTAGCTTGACTTGATCTTCTATTGTTGCCACATGATTTCATGTTGAGTAATTTCAAGCTATATGATGCTAAAGCTCCCGACAGAAAAAAAGGTTAGAAGCGTTCGAAATGTGGTGTTACAGGCGAATGATAAGGATACAGTGGATAGAGAAAGTTAGAAATGAGGAGGTACTAGAAAAAGTAGGAAAAAACAGAAGACGCTAAGGAAATCAATAGAAATAGACGAGATGGGTTGGTAGGACATTTTCGCAGGCATGAAGAACTAGTTAGAGACATTTTAGAAACAGAAATAGGAGTTAGGAGGAGCAGAGGTAGATTTAGATTAGATTACTGTTCACAAATAGTTAAGGATGTGGGATGATCTAGTTTTAGTGAAATGCGAAAATTAACTGAGGATGGGAAAGAACAACTAATCTTGGGGTTGACCACCCTGTGTTCATGATGATAATGAATACAACCAGTATATGAAAAAGCATTATTTGTGCAACCATATATTCAAAAATTAACTGTTGAAACTATATAAGAGGAAATTAACTTCGATTTTAACAGAATATTCTTGTGAATATACGACAAATGTGGCCCGCAAGATAATTTGGGTTGGCCACTCCTGACAATGAAAATATTTGCGGCCAAACAGAATCTCCTTAAATATTATATGGTTGGTCTTCTTTCAGTTCCAAAAGATACAATAGAATTACTATTTCATTGGATTCTAATAATTGCAAGCTCAATATTCCATCGTTTTAGATTTTGCTATGACGCATTGACATCCTACTGGAAGTTCAATAGCAATAGCAATATATTACAAATCCACTATCAACAAGCAATTTTACCTTTATTAAGGAAATACAAAGTTTCATTTCTAACATGATTAGAAGCTTGAGAGTCATGGACTATTATGGCCTCTAAGGCCAAACGGCAATGACATGGTTGAAGAGCTAAATTCGCCTACGCCAGTTTAGCAAAAACGGGAAAACTTGAAAATGGCTGAAAGTCCTGAATGTTTTAAGAAAAAAGTTTGAAAAAAATCAAGGCGTCTTGAAAAAGTATTTGATTTTCCAAACTGATGAAAAACTACTTGATTTCAAGTGAAGTTAAACCGGCGAGGTTGCCAATTAAGTGAAGCCGTAAATCCCTATATCTACCCATTAGTGGAAAGCGGAGATTATCACCTACTTGCAAATAGATAATACACAAATGTATTTGTTAGTGTAGACTTTTTTGAATTTCGCTAATGATAATGACCATTTTCCTCTTTTCATAATAATGAAAATTTGGTATTCCAGAATAAGCCACGCATTAACATTCCGTCGCACCGATTATCCCCGTCACCAACTGTCTTTCAGTTCAATTCTTTTTCGGATTGCTGATTTACTGCGGTCATAAAAGCCTTAGTGTAAGAACAATGTGTCATTAAATATTACCGTATGCCAGTAGAAGCCATTCTTTAGAGTAAACACACAATAAAATTTGTCAACCTTGTCAAGGCTCAGCAACATAATTTTAGGCCTAACGATAAACTTGGTACATCCACGGTCCGTCGGCTGACCGTTTAACGACTTCCTCTCAGTGCTTTTCATGGCATTTATTCTTTTATAAAACAGTTATTAAGATATTCGATTTTTCGAAGCTTTGTCGACAACGCGTTGAAAAATCAATAAAATAGTTTTACCTATTACTTCCCTATAACCGTCTACTATCAAGTTTACATGCCATATTTCCTCTTTAGTTTAAATAACTACTAGGTATACGAAATTATTATTAATTCGCCTTTAATAAGGCTCCTACCTAAAGAGCTTTATTTTTTTTATTATTTTTATACTAATATTAAATAAACTTAAAAATGTAGGGATGAGCTCAAAGATAGAAGAGTGATACTTAGTTTGTATAAAGAGCAACAGGCAGTTATAGAACTAGGCATGCAACGTAGAGAGTAAATATTAGAAAGGGAGTCAGACATCGCTACTTTTTAATCTATACATCGAAGACGCGATCAACATCATTAAAGACAGTACAACTGTAGGGATAGATACACAGGGACAAAAAATTAGTATGCTGAGATTTTCAGATGATATAGCAGTATTAGCATCTAGCAAGGAGGACTTAGAGATAGCTTTAAATTAAATTTAAGAGGTACTGACAGATGAGTAATGTATGAAAATAAATAAAAGTAAAACTAAAATACTGGTATGCAAGGGAAGAAAAAGTAGGGAAAGAGCGAATATAAAGATAGGAGAACGAAAAATTAGAAGAAGTGGCTGATTTTAGATATCCAGGAAGTCAGATAAGTCAGGACGGAAGGAGTAGTAGGGATATAAAGCAGAGGATAGCGCAGGGTCGTGTCGCCTTTAATAAAAAGAAGTCACTTCTATGCTCGCGAACGGTTAATTTAGAAATTCGAAAAAGGTTGTTAAAGGTGTATGTTTGGAGCACGGCGTTGTACGGGTGCGAAACATGGACAGTGGGAGCGGCGGAAAAGAAAAGGTTAGAAGCGTTCGAAATGTGGTGTTATAGGCGGATGATGAGGATATCGTGGGTAGAAAAGGTTAGAAATGAAGAGGTATTGGAAAGAATAGGAGAACAGAGGACTCTATGGAAGTCAATAAAAAATAGGCGAGATAGGTTGGTAGGACACCTTCTTAGGCATGAAGGTCTAGTCAGAGACATATTAGAGGCAGAAACAGGAGTTAGGAGGGGTAGAAGTAGATCTATATTAGAGTAATGTTCGCAAATAGTTAAGGATGTATGTTGTTCTAGTTTTAGTGAAATGGGAAGTTTTGCTCAGGATAGGAAAAAGTGGAGGTACGTGTCCAACCAGTCTTAGGACTGACGACCTTATGATGATGATGATTATATTAATAATGTGAAGTAGTTATGTTTACTTACAAAGTTTTCTCGAAATCCCAATAAATTTCGTAAAAAGCTAGCATATACCTAGGTACCTACTCATTTAATTCTAGCGCAGACCATAAACGTCCTCCGATAATAGAGAGCGG